TTAATGTCTTGGTAGAAGTGTGACCAGGAAGAAGGAATGGTGAAACCTTATCTCACATACTTTTTTTGGCATGTTGTCAGGAGAGTCCAGTCCTTAGAAAAATACTGAGCAAAGTAGAGGGTCAGCGAAAGCAAGAAAGAGATGTATTGACACAGTTACTGTAACAGTGGGCTTGGGCAGATCAGAGATAATGACACCAGGTTTCAATTTCTTGTTTATAGACTTGTTGTGAGTTGTAGAAAACTCCACGACACTTAGCAACAACAAACCTCTCTCATTAACAAAGATAAGTAATTCCAAATGGAATTATTTAAAATATATATTTTGGGAGAGGGGTTGTGGGAGGGACAACACAATTCAATCTGTAATAATAGGCCAAAGCAAATAAAAGTAAAACAGATTAGAAAAAAAAATGCCTATGTATGTTTGTTGTAGCATTGTCCATAATAGTAAAGAGATAGATGTCAACAAATGGATAGAAATATTGTACAGCTACACACTGGAATATTATGCAGCATTGAGAAACAAAGAACTTGTAAATCACTACATGACATGGGTAAGTCTGGAAGACATTATGCTGAGTGAAATATCTCAGTGCCAAAAGGACAAATACTGCATAAGATTGGCGTTATAAACAGGATTGGCACGGGGCTAGGGGTGGGACCAGAGCAGAGAAAGAATGAATAGTGCACTGGAATAGGTGAAGGGAAGGACTACCTGAAAGTATTGCATGATTAATCTGGAACAAAGTGAATTCTGGGAAGGGGGAAGGAGGAATTAAATGAATGAATAAAAATCCAACTTTCCTGTAAAATTTCACTAGAAGTCACAATAAAAACATAAATAAAACCTCTCATTGTTAGCTTTTTGGTTTAAGCATACTTTGAGAAATGCTGTCAAGTATATATGTAAAAGGTACGAGAAAATTACCAGGTCACTGGATATCACTTCTGGGGTGATAAATTTTGGAACAAAATCAGTATTGATAAAATTTTCTTATACTTAAGTAAAAGGAAAACACTCAAAAAAGTGATGTTCAGGCAAGTTTATTCATCCTTCATTTCTACTCTTCTAAGCTGCAGGATGAAATGAAAGAAAACAAACAATTATACAGCTTGAACTGGCACTTGTGATTTTCTTACAATCTAAACAGTCCTATTGATGTCTAGTGTATTTGTTTGCTCTGACTCAACAAGGAGAGAAGGATGCCCTTTTCCTCTGATAACTTGCCCCCTTGGATGGCTGGGTGCTTTGTGCATCCTATGGTGTCAGTTACTTGATCAGAGACCCTACTCAGTACCACAAATGCTTGTTTTTTGTTGTCTATTTCTTGAGAGATCACACTGGGATATGAAGAATCCTTTCTTTACAAAAATTGTCTAGGACCACTATTACAAAAGGCTATGGAAGGTTTATACACACATAATATCCATCTTGGAGGGTTAACAGGGATGAGAAGGGAGGGAAAGAAGAAGGAAAATTAATAGAAAAGTTGGGTGAAGGGAAAGGCAATGTACAATGAGGGATTGATTAAATATTGTAGTTAATTACATTAATCAATTGTAATTAATGCAATAAAATTTCTGTGAATGATTACATGAAAAACCAATATGATTTGTAAACCTTCACTAAAATAAAAAAATAAAAAATAATGAAGCACTTATTTGTTCCACAGATTATTTTGGCTCAAGCTTTCCTGGCCCTGAGTTTCAGCAACTATCATATTAGAATCTCCTATGAAACACACAGCTATGTAAATGAAAAAAAATAAGCAAAAATTGGAAAGATAGCATAAATGTTAATAATTTAACATTTAAAATACATGATATACTATAAGATTTAATTGCAAATTCAGGGATGAATAATACTATGACCAAGATTCTTTTGATTGTCTTAAAATACCAAAAATCTAAGACTGACAAATATTTAGATATTCATCATAAAGGGAAGCTGTGGTGGCATATATCAATAGGGAGCTGTGCTGCCAACCCAAAGGCAGATACTTCTCTGATGGTTTGAATCAGGGTGAAGTCTCTCTCAGGGAGGAGTGATAGGGAATGGCAAAGGACACACCGACAGAGGAGATTAATCAGAACTGACTTTGACAAGCACTGTGGCAATTGGACAATTAAAACAGACATTCGGATGGCGGGGAAGAAGAACAAACTGGGGAGGAGGGTGGAGAGAATGGTGCGGCAATGAAGGAGTGAATGCCCAGAATCCCTGTGAGTGTTCATTGAAACTAATAAAATTTAATAATAAAAAAAAAAGGAAAACTCAAAAACTCTGATGGTTTGAATCCTCTCCTTGGGGAGAGGGGGTGGTAATCTTTCATGGAACTTTTATCAGTGGAAAGTCAATTGCAAGTCAGATGTGAGATTCTTAGTCAAAGCAATGAATAAAAAGATCATTAAATGTGGTCCTAATAGAAATTCCTGACTCTTTAGGTTAGTCACATCCTAAAAGCCATTGTCTCCTAGTTGGTATAATTTCCTTATTCAATTAATGACAACCCAGCTAATGCACAGTCCAGCTGCATTAGTTGCTGCTTCTGATAACTGATATCTTCTAAACAGAAGCTGTCTCTGTTAAAGGATTTGACAGATTAATGTTTTGCTGTTAGTCTCACAGATGGAGGATAAAGGACTTCATAAGATCAAATGAAGTGTATTTCAGAATGGACTGTATTTTATATCATCAGGTGTCTGAATATCCATTCTCTGTAAATTGGACTGAATTTTAATCTCCTCCCATGTGACTAACGGCCTCTGAAAACTCACTAGAGGGCCAACTACGAGTCAGTCCCGAATTGAAAAACAAAGTTCTCAGTAAGCAGTATATACCAAGAAGAGTGTGATGATACTCCAGGTCCCCAGATTGACAGCCACAAGATTCCTGGGAGCTATGCTTGGTGTTCTTGGTCTTCCTTTTCCCTTCCCTCCTCCTCCTTCTTCTCCTTCTCCTCCTTCTTCTCCTTCTCCTCCTCCTCCTCCTCGTCCTCCTCCTCCTCCTCCTCGTCGTCCTCCTTCTCCTCCTTCATCTCCATCTTTTCTTCCTCAGCCGTTTCTTTCTCGTTCTCATCTATTTGGACATTTTCATCACAGATTACATGGTGACATGGATTTACTCCTTCAGCACAGAAAATGCAATTTGGGGATCAGATACCCATGGGAGAAATATCTCAAGTCACACTCCCAGGAGACTTGCTCTGCTCTTCGAAGAGAATAAGGAAAAAGGGCTCACCATGTCCTACAGATTGACAGAGCATCCCCTATCCACCAGTTCTGCTACTTCATAGTCTGCAGTGATGTCACTTCCCTCTTTCTCCATGGCCTCCCACCTTAAAGGGCTAAGTACTTCTGGCTCTTTAGAGAAGAAAGGGTCAGAATCCTTGGGGTCTGACTGCATTCTGTCTCCTTGGGCTAGAAACTATTCCTTTGCCCCAAAGATTAATTTTAGGGTGAGGTCTGAATGTTTCCCTTTTTACCAAGTGTTCCCATATCGGGTCATCGTATACTTGAGATCAACTTTCTAAGGCTCTTTTATGTATCTTTTTAAAAGCCATCCACGCAACATGATGTACTCCAAGTGTTTCCTTTTTGCCTCCAAGCTGCCATTTGCTCCCAAGCACCCTCCTGAACACTTACCCTAGTGAGGGTCGACCATAAATGGCAGATAACCTCACATTTCGACTCAGAACTGGTGGAGGGAGGTTGGTTTCCCTCGGGACTTTATGTAAGGATCGTTGTAGGACTGGGCTTCCAATTTAGCACTTTTGGCCCAAGTGGGTTGCGCTGCCCACTTCACTGGAGGCCAGTGTGCGCTGGGCAACAGGTGAGCTAGGGTGTCCTGTGGGCCGGGGTCTGGTGCAGGGGATCTTTACCTTGTGGGGCTGTGGCCTCATTTAGGTGCTCCTGGGCCTCCTGATAGGCATCTGTATCTGCCTGTGGGGGCTCCCCAGTCTCGTGTTGTGGTGGTTCCCCAGCTTCGTGATGAACAGCTGCATGTGTGGGCTCCCCTTCCTCGTGATGTGGAGCCCCATACAGGAGCTCCCCTGGCCCCTCCTGGTAAGGAGGATCCTCTGGAGGCCCCTCGAGCCCCTCCTTCAGGGGCCCAGGAAGCCCCTCTTGATACATGGGACTTTGGGGGAGTTCCTCAGGCCCCTCCCGATGTGCGGCCTCCTCTGGGAGCTCATTTCCAGCGTGGTCCAGGGCCTTAGGTGGTGGCAGCGGTGGGTGCTGAAGGGAGGCCTGGGGGGCAGCAGCCGTGGCAGCAGAGACAGCAGTAGCCGAGGCAGTGGTAGTGGCCCCTTCGGCCAGGCCCTCGCCCCAGCCCCCGCTGGAAGGCTGCACGGGAGGCAACTGGGCCAGTGTATCATGGCCCTCATGAAGCCCCGCCCGCGGGCGCAGAATCAGGTAACCTGTGCGCGGGCGAACCGGCACATGATGGTTGTAGTATATACGTTGCAGCATGGTGTGAACAAGATCAAAAAACACAAAATGTAAACCCAGCACGGGAAATTGGAATGAGTCCACCATGCCCTGGACGCCAGCCGTCTCACTGTCTTCTTCCGCTGGCCTGATGTCTGAGCCCTTGGTGTCTGCCCCTTGGGTCATGGATGGCAGCCCCTTGGGCCCACCTGATGGCAGCATCGGGCTCTCCACCTCCTGGTGCACGTCCTTTGCCTCCTCGGGGGTGACCACCATCTCCACCTGCTCGGAGATGCCCCCCACCTCCTCAGGGGCGTCCAGCACCTTCGCCAGGATGCCCCTACCTCCTCGGGGACGCCCTCTACCTGCTGGCTAATGTCCTTCTTTTCCTTGGGGGTGTCCCCCACCTCCTCAAGGATGCTCTCCATCTTTTTGGGGACCCCTGCAACCTCCTCCAAGACGCCCCTCACCTCCCCAGGAGCGTCCAGCACCTTCGCCAGGACACCCCCTACCTCCGTGGGCATGCTCTCCATCTGTTTGAGAACGTCCACCATGGCCTCTATGTCACCGTCCACCTGCTCACGGATGCCCCCCACCTCTTCAGGGGTGCCCAACACCTTCGCCAGGTCTCCCCCTACCTCCTCAGAGACGCCCTCTACCTCCTCAGTGGTGCCCACCCACCTCCTCTGGGATGCTCTCCATCTTTTCGGGGACCACTTCAATCTCCTCTGACACACCCCATCTCCTCTTGGATGCCCTCCATCTTTTCTGGGACCACTTCAACCTCCTCCAAGACGCCCCCCACCTCCTCCGGGGTGCCCAGCACCTTCACCAGGATGCCCCCTACCTCCTCGGAGATGCTTTCCATCTGTTTGGGCACGTCCTTCCCCTCCTCAGCCTTCACCTCCATCTCTTCGGTTATTCCCACCGCCTGCTTGGGGATGCTCTCCATTTGCTCGGGGACGTCTTTCACATCTTCAGTGGTGCCTTCCATCTCAAGGGAACCCTCTCCCTGCTGGCCGATGTTCTTCACCTCCTCCATGTCCTCGGGGACGCCCTCCACCTGCTAGGAGATGCCCCTCACCTCCTCAGGGGTGCCCAGCACCTTCACCAGGACACCCCCTACCTCCTCGGGGACGCCCCCACCTCCTCCGGGGTCCCTAGCACCTTCGCCAGGACGACCCTACCTCGTCTGGGATGCTCTCCATCTGTTCAGGCACGTCCTTTACCTCTTCGAGAGTGTCCACCATGGCCTCTATGTCACTGTCCACCTGCTTGGGGATGCCCCCCATCTCCTCAGGGGTACCCAGCACCTTCACCAGGTCTCCCCCCTACCTCCTCATGGATGCCCCCTACCTCTCAGGAGCACCCTCCCACCTCCTCGGGGATGCCCTCCATCTTCTCAGGGATCCCCTCAATCTCCTCAGAGACACCCCCTCAGCTCCTCAGGGGCACCCACCACCTCTTCTAGGTTGCTCTCCCATCTTTTCCGGGACCCCCACTACCCTCTCAGAGACGCCCCTCACCTCCTCAGGGATGCCCACTATCCCACCCCTGCCACTATCAGCTCCCACTCCACCCACTTGGCCTGCTGGGTCACCATCCTCGGGGGCCGACATGGAGGGATCGGGCTGTGGCCAGGCCATTGGCACCAAATGATGGTGGCTGGAGGTCGAGGGCAGTGCTGGCTGAGGAGAGATGAAGGAACAAGACTGGAAGTGGCCTCGCTGTCTGAGGAGACCACCCAAGGACAACCACAAGGCCAAGGGACTCACTGTCAGAGCTGCCCTCTTCCCAAGGTGGCTCTGGACTGGACACAATGCTCAGCGGGCAGGTGGCAAAGGGTGGGACCGCAGAGATACGTAACGTTTGCGTCACAGTGGCCAACTCAAAGCTCATTTGCTGAGACTCAAGGATTGACATACTCTCCATCCAATGAGTGATCGAGGCTCAGGGACTCCCTGAAGACTGACAGTTATGGGTTACCATTCTTTGTTGCTGTTGCTATGTGCCTTTCAGTCGACTCCTACTCACAGAAATTCATTTATGACAGTGCAAAATCCTGTCTGATCCTGCTCTGACTTCATAATATTGTCATTGTTAGCTGCCTTTGAGTTCAGTCTAATTATAATGACCCTTTGATCAACAGATATGAATCCTATCTTGTGCCATCCTCATCTCTGAATACTTGAGCCCATTGCTGCAGTCACATTCATTAGGTTTTCAGAGATCCATTTAAGAAGTGGATGGCCAATCCTGCTTCCTAGTCTTTTTTAATCTCGGAGCTCTGTTGAAACAAGGTCACCATGGATGATCTTTCTAGCACTTGAAACTTCAGTGACGTAGTTTCCCGCATTACAGCAATCCATAAGTTATCCCAGTACAGCAAACAGACAGACAAGTGCTCTAATAGCAACTGTTAAACCTGACATTGCAGTCACTGTGCCAATATATCATTATTATTCAGCCCATCTTTCTCTTTCTTTACTGACTCTTAACTTTTCCAAGTATGCTGCCCTTCTCCAAGGACTACCCCTTCCTGAAAACATGCCCAAAGATAGTGTGACAAAGTCTTACCATGTTTACTTCTAATCATCACACTGCATGTACTTCCTCCAAGACAGATTTGTCTTGTCTTTTGGCAGTCCATGATAAAGTCAACATTCTTTACCAATACTATAATTTAAAGGCATTCGTTCTTCTAAAGGGAGCTCTGGTGGCCAAGTGGCAAGAAGCTGTGCTGCAATCATGGAGGCACACGGTTCAAGGCCACCACCAGCTGTTCCACAGGAGAAGGAATGGCAATCTCCTCCTGTGCAATCAACTGCCTCTGAAAACCAGCAGTTCTTCTAGAGTATTCTTTATAACTCAACAAATGTCATTGCCATTCAGTAGAAACAATCTCATTACTGACCCTCCAGTAGATTTTCAAGAGACTATAAATTGCAAAAAATAAGATTGTACGCCTTTCTTCTGCAAAACCCCTGGTGGATGGGAACTGCCAGGAAAGTGTCATCTTTGAGTTATCAGTGCAACTTCCTACCCACTGGGCTACCAGAGAACTCTTGAAAATACCAATCAATTGGATCAGTTGCACCTCAGGACTCAAAGCAACATCCTTTCTCTCTTGTACTGTAACAAGGTCCTTGAAAGTAGATTATTGAATGCATTATGTTATTTGATTTCTTCTGAGGAAACATAGGAAAAAAGCAAAGTCAGGCCTCATTAACATCTTTCCATGGGGCCTCCTGCCATCTTGTTTGGCACCAGAAAGCTTCCATGTAACAGGAAAAGCACACATTTGGCCAGTAATTCTCAAATGACAGTGCATTCCCTGGGAATAAATTTTAATGTAGCACAAAGGAGTTGTTTTTTTTTTTAAATTGACTATATACTTGGACCAGGAGTCAGTCATGAGAATAGAGCAACAGAACACTACATGGTTAAAAATAGGGAAGAGTGTGTGCCAGGGGTGTGACCTTTTCAATCTATATACAGAACAGATTATCCAAGAGGCTGGACTCTATGAGGAGAAATGTGGCATCAGGATTGGAGGAAGACTCATCAACAATCTGCATTATGCAGATGACACAACCTTGCTTGCTGAAATTGAGGACGACCTGAAGTGCTTGCTGCAGAAGGTAAAGGACTGCAGTCTTCGATATGGATTGAAGCTCAACATCAAGAAAACAAAGATTCTCACCACTGGGCTGACTGGAAGCATCATGATGGGTGGTGAAAAGATTGAAATTATAAACAGCTGTTCATAGAATTGCTGTGAGTCATAGAGAGATAATGGTTACCCATGGTGGGCAGTTTTTGGTGGTGCTGCCAGATTAAAACAGGCTTGGAAGCAGGAGTGGCATCCACTTCAGAAAGAACTTGCCTCTGGAAACAAGTGTTCAGGTCTTTTGCCCATAGGGTCGTTGTGAGTTGTCTATAACTTGACCCAACTTGAATGCACTTAATAACAAACAACAGTTTTAAGGTCCCAGTCCTTGGAAAAAGGCCTCATGCTGAAAGAAGTGGAAGGTCAGAGAAGAAAAGAAGATCTTCAACATGATGGATTGATATGATGACTGTAGCAATGGACTTGAGTGTTTCGGATTGTGGGAATTGCATAGGATAGGTCAAGGGTTAGATCTATTGTTCTTAGAATTGCAGGGACTCATAGAGAGAACTCTGTTGGCCTAGTGGATAGAAAATTATGATACCAAGCCAAAGGTGGGTGATTTTAATCTGCGGCCCTTAGGCCTGGTTTTAATTGTTTTTGGTCAAACATTCTTCTAGGTGGTACAGCAGTGGTCTGTCATTTGCTGTACATAGGTAACTCGTGGTTGCCGATGTTTCAAATGTGATAATGGTTACCCATGGAGGACAGTGTTTGGTGGGGCTCTCAGATTAAAACAGGTTTGGAAGGAGGAGTGGCATCCACTTCCAAAATAGTTTGCCTATGGAAACTCTATGAACTTAGAGAAATGATGAAAGTTATACAAGTGTTCAAGTCTTTTGTTCATAAGGTTGTAATGAGTTGTCTCCAACTCAATGGCACTTAACAACAACAACTATGACTAATAAGTAACCACTAAGTTTCTATGAGGTACTTCTGACTCTTGGCCACCTCATTTATGCCAGAGTAGATCTGTGATTCATAAGTTTTTCAATGGCGGAATTTTTGGAAATTTGTCACCAGCCTTTCCTTCTGAGACATCTCTGGTTGGATTTGAATCTCTGTCATTTTTCTAGCAACTGAGAGCATTAACTTTTTGTACCATAGGTTTTATTTTTAAGAAAAATTCTTCAAACAAGCTAATGGTTATCAGATAATCATTGGAGTATCCCACAGAACACTCTGTATTAATATATTCATGGTTTAGTTGGAAGAGCATAGTTTACCATTTAGGGTACATCTGATTTCAACATAGATTACATCTCAACATCAAGAAAGCAAAAGACCCTCATCCTTCAACGAATAGAAAACATCATAATAGATGGAGAAAAGATTAAGGTTGTCAGTTATTTCATTTTACTGGGCTTCACAATCAAGACCCATGATGGCAGCAGTCAAGAAATCAAAAGAAATGCTGCTTTGGGAAAATCTGTTGTCAAGAACCTCTTGAAAGTGCTGAAGAACAAGGATATATGTTTAAAGACTAAGATATGCTTTACATAAGTCATAGTATTTTCCATTGCTTCCTGTGCATCTTAAAATTGGACAATGAATAAATAAGAAAGGTCAAAGAACAAGTGATGCCTTTGTTATTGGTAGTGGTGAAGAGTATTGAATAGACAATGGACTGCCAAACAACAAACAAATCTGTCATGGAGGAAACAACAAACAAATCTGTCATGGAGGAAATACAACCAGGGTGCTCCTTAGAGGCAAAAATGGTGAAAGTTTGTCTTACATACTTTGGACATGTTATTAAGTGTGGTCAGTCCTTGGAAAAATACACCCTATCTGGAAAAGTAAAATGTAGCAAAAGAGAGGAAGACTCTCATTGAGGTGCACTGACTCAGTGACTGCAAGAATGAGTTTGAGCATGGCAGAAAG